CATCTCTTAACAATTAAGAGAGAGGAGGTGGGGTTTATACTGCGGCCGGCCACCAGGGGGACATCAAGACGCTTTGAATTCACTATTTATACAGTGGGACAGAGTCTTGATGCAAATTTCAGTGCACTTTTCTTTACAGTCATCGTGATGTGAGGCGACATGCAACAACTAAATGTTGTGTGTCATGTGTTTCGTGTTTCCTGTCCTTGGCAGGCGTTCAGCCAGGGGGGGGCCATGAGGGACATGTTTCTTCTTTTTTTCCCTTTTTATTATTTATTGGTTTTTGTAGTTCTGAGTTGCCTCCTTATTATTCATGAGCTGTCTCACGTACACAGCCTGCAGGCCAGAGGTTCCCCACCCTGTTTCATTATACCAGTTTGAAAAAGAAACAAACAACTGGAAGCAGAGTAAACCAGTTTAAAAGTCAAATTTATGAATGAGGATATTAACTCAGTGGGTGTTTTAAATTACATTTTGTATGAATATGCTGATTTTTGATGATTATACTGAATGTAAGCCAAACTAAAGTGAAGCAGTTCTCAGTGAGAGTAACATGATTCAGAATTTGCTCCTTGACAAGCAAAGTCATGCTTTTCTCTCACATACCTGATGTCACATGCTATAGATTCAGCAGCTGATAACTTGAAACCAGGGCAGGGAACATGTCTGGTTGTTGATGTGGATGTGTCACACTGTCTACTAGAAAATGAGGTTGTGAAGAAGTATTTGTCATTAACAGTCTGGGTTAAATTCACACGGGCACTTTTTAAAGATGTATTAGTCCTCCTATAAAATAGCACCTCTGGGATCAGTCTGTCTTGTAAGACAACGGCAGCGTCTTGGTTGGAGTTGCTCAGCAGTCAGCTCAGCAGGAGAAGCTGGGATAGTTTTGTCATGTGCACGTTCTTAACTTCAGTGTGAGGGACTCTTTCACCAAAATACAAGAATCAGCAACAACCAAATCTGAAATAAATCCGCAGAACTGACCATGGGCCAATTCTCCACATGCTGAGTCATGGTACAGGTGTTAAAATTAAAGGGTCAGTGTGTATTTCTTCTGATGAGTTTTAGTTTTTGCTGATGTGAGATTGTCCAGGGTTTCCACAGCACACACAGACACATTTGTACAGCTATCTTAGTGAGGACACTCATTGGTATAATGCATTACCCAGCCCCTTACCCTAACCATCCAAACTAAATGCCTAGTCCTAACCCTTAACCTAAACCTAATTCTAACCCTTACCCGAAAACCAAGTCTTGACCCCCAAACAGTTCATTAAAGGGGGGTCACAAAGTGAGGACTGGCCAAAATGTCCTCACTTTGACAAAAATGTCCTCACTCAAGGCTAAAACTGGTCCTCACAAAGATAGCTGTACACACACACACACACACACACACACACACACACACACCTGCAGATAGTCCTTATAAGATAAAGTATCTATACTCTTCCTAAATGTCTTTATTCTCTGCTTTCTACGGCTTTTAATCAACTTCCAACCCTTCAGATTCCCCTGACCCCCACAACAACAGCCAGAAATTACAATGAGGCTATATATGGATTTAAGACTATAAATGGATTTAAAACATTTTCATGATTCAAGTCAAAATCAATGTGCAAACTTTGAGCAACATAACTGCATTCAGCAGATGTTTATAGAAGACGCAGCAAACTCTTTACAGTGGCACCAACTTCTGCAGCTTTTTAGTGGCTCTCAGGAAGACAAGTATATCTTTGTGGACTGTAACAATTTGAGCTGATCTTTTGTTTGTCTGAAAAACAAAACCCCTGCATGTGTTGGGTTGCATTACGCTGACACAGTGACTTGGTGCCTATTGTCACGGCGGCACGATGAAGCCTGAGCCTTGAGGTCATTCGTCAATACATTTTAATAATGCTGTCGTCAAATACTTACCCTTATATTCTACCACAAAAGCTTTAGAAACTGGCTCCTAAAAAAACAAATACTTGTATTTCACAGCTCCCTCTGGCACCGCAAAGAAAAACCTTTCAGTGTTAGGAGCATGTATTGTTTAGGTAGAGGGAATCAGCTGCTTGGATAGCCTGATCCTCCAGAGGATCTTATGCGGGAAGGTCAAATTACATTAGTTTTTCAAGTTGTTCAAGCAAGAACAGAGCACTTAATAAAGACACCGTGGTTCTTCTTGCCTGAATTAATTACACACAGTTCAAAGCCTCCCTCTGCTTTGAAGTAATTGCATCTTGGAGCCAGACCACTACAGGGAAGCAAGTGATTACCTTTTGATTTCTTCACTCACACATCCCCCCACACCACCATTATATAAACAGCCCACTCAAACAGTTGTTTTCAATCGTAAAGATTAATTATGATTATATGAAAAGAAAACCAACAAAAGAACAAGAAAAGAAAACGGTACATTTAACTCAGTCACAGAAGAAATAAATCTTGTCGAAGCTTGATCAGACTAGAACTACTGCTTGTTTTGTTTGGTGGCAACTGCACTACAAGTATTTGCACTGAAACAACAAAATACTCAATAATCAGCTCAAGTGTGACTGAAAACACGACTCGATCTGCTGGAGTTTCGGTTGACCCAGTTTTAAACTGAAAACTTTCTCTCTATACTGTCAACAGTAAAGCAACCGTAGTCAGATCAAATGTCAATGGACCACTTTGTCAGTTCATCAGGGGTTGTTTTCTCTCTCTCTCAGCATCAAACAGACATGTCGACATTTCTGTCATGATTTTCATGGACCCCCGCTCTGTGGAAAACTTTTTTTCGCTGTGAAAACGCCTAACAAGTGCCCTTTAGAATCTGTGACGGATAGAGAGTACAAAACATGTTTTCAACTATCAGTCAGCTATTTTATGATGTGTCATGCAGATTGCAAGTCAACACATCAGTGCATGTCCCAGACCAGAGGGAGAGACATTGGCAGGAGCACAACTGAAAGGTAAACAGATGTGAGATAGATGTGAGCTGACCCTCATTGAGTGTAGCTCTCCGATTTAATTCTGCTGGTTATTCCAACATCTCAGCCGGTGATTAAAGGCAGGGGCGGGGCCAGGGGGGCACTGGCAGTAGCTGAATTCTGATTGGCCCCAGATGTGGTCCTGTCCGGTCATGAGTGTTTTTTCGTCACTTACCTACGGTGCATTCACCCTTAACACAATTCCATTTTTTGCGTAATGAGATTACGTACAAGTCAATGCAGAGATGCAATTAGATGCAAAGTCCACATAAATTGCTCAAAGCTATGGAGTTTACAGTAAACCTAAAACTGTGGGCAACATCTTAAGCATCTTTTAAGTATTTTCTTAAAACATTATTTCAGAATATTTGATAAATGTTATAATTTCTACCTTTTTTTTAATTCTTGCTCTAATTTCTGCAGAAATGTCTGAAATATCTGGATTCTTTCAACACATTTTCCCATTTCTTCTTCAAACTGGACCTATAGGATGATTTACATTAGTGGTAAGTGAAATAAAATCCCTTTTGATTTGTCACTTAATTTGTTGGGCTGTTAATCCATGGATGTCGTCACAGTGTTGTAGTGAGTGTTTGTCACAGTGCCACTGAATGCAGCCCTCTCTGCTGCATGTTTTGCTCCCTTAGGTTTCAACATGCTGGCTCTTCAGGAGATTGGACAAAAAAAGGCACAAACATCTGGAAGTGTTTTTCTACAATGGGGTCAATTCACTGAGCGCTCTCAGGCAGCCCCCCCACCCACTTGAAAAGAATAGAGTCACACTCACACACACATAGAAATAAATACATTCAAGAACAAAACAACTGGAGGAGTCTAGGCTGGTTTTAAGTTCTACAATTGATCATCTATATTCTCAAGCTGACTTTTCAGGATGTAACACGTACAGGCCAACTCTGACGCAATCTGTGAAAACCCAGTTTATTCAGCTTGTTTCTTTCTATTGGCTGTTCACACTCATCTTTGGGTGTAATGTGGAAGTGTTCTGTCTCACAAGACAAACACTCATTGCTGGACACACACACACATACACACTAGATCAATAAGCGTTCTCTCTTTCTCCTTCTTTGTCCTCTCTCCTCTTCCCGTCTCAGTTCCAGTCTTGGTGAGTTACCAGCCAAGCGTAGCATGGTAACCTGCCAAACACTGGCATGTCTGCCCACACACAAGGACCATTCAAAACCACAAGTGTGTATGAGTCGGTGTATCCAGACACTTACAAGTAAACAGAGCAAAACAAAAGTTTTATACACTTTTGAGTAGTAAAATTGAAGAAAAGGCTGTGGGGGTGAACTGCTTCTGAGAGTTTCCTCTTGTCCTGTAGAGTCACACCCTGCTGTGAGTCAGTCAGGCTCAAATGGGTGACTGCTATGAAAAACAGGAATTTTCAGTAAAATGTTAAATCCAGCAGCAAATCCTCAGCACTGACACAATATTTTCTTGTATTTGGCTTTGTTACCTTGGCAATGGTGTTTTTTGTCTGATAGTTAATAGAAATTCGCAAAAACTACTGGATGGTTTTTTAACATTGGGAGAAAGTATTTCAACATATTTATTGATTTGTCTAAGAATTGTGTAAATTTTGATGAAAGAATTCATACATATCTTGGGGTATGGAATTGATGCGAGCTATTTCATGTAGATCCAAATAGAAATCTGCACCTACTGAAATTAAGGTTATGCCTTGGCGGAGGTATGCGCTCTACTGAGTGCAGTTCTCATGTTTCCATTGCCATTTGTCTGTCTGTGTGTGTGTGTGTGTGTGTGTGAGCAGGATTTTGCAAAAACTAATGAAACGGTTTTGGTAAAAGTCGGTGGAAGGGTGGGATGTGGGCCAAAGAAGAACCAATTCAATTTGAAGTGGATCTAGTTAAATGGGCAGGTCCTGGAATAATTTTTTCTCATCCTTCAACATGGCGAGATCACGTCTCAAAGCAACTGTTCGTTCACAATCCTTTACTGTCATACCTTACAAATGTTGCCATCCCTACATCATATGACATAACAAAACATGGAACAAACGTGTGAGAATAGTCAATTTATTACACATGTGTCATATATATATAAAGTTATATACAATATAATTACATACAGTACATACAAAATATAAAACTGTTTTTTTTAAGATTCCTTTTAAAATCTAAAAAAACACTTAAGCCTTTCAAAATGTCACAAATCCTAATATGCAGTCTTGAGGCTGATCCTCTCAGAAATACCACAGGAATGTTTCGGTAGGTTTTACAGGCAACAGCACAGACAGTGCAGCTGGGTGTTAAAACATCAACAGACACCAGCATCACTTCATCACTTAATATGTTAAAGTGTTCATAGCCTGCTGGTCGCATGTGTCTTGTTGATCTGGTTTGACAGAAGGTCAAGTTAAGTCAGCAAGGACACAGCTTGTTTATTCCTGTTGTCACACAAGACAAGGGTCAACCAGATCAGCGAGCACAGCATATTGCAAAAGATGTGCATCAAACCTTGTGCCATATTGAAAAGAAATGGTCTAAACGCAGTGGACAAGTTGTTGGTTTCTAGCTAATATTTCTAAGAGAAATTTTGAGCAGTAAAATAATCATTTTGTGGCTGTAACAATGAAAGATATTTCTGTTTTACAGTTTAATCAGTTAAGTCTTTATCTGATGTTTTCCATTCAGACCACAGTAGATCAATATTTACTGCGGAACGAGTACAAGTCAACAACCTGGACAAATATTTACTTTTTTTTTTTACTTTAACCAAACAGTTGGTTTGGCTTAGCATAAAGAACAGTAACAGGCTCAAATTGGTCTGGCTCAAATGTAAAAAATAAATGTTAAAAAGTCATTTCTTTCATTCGTACAAAAGCTGAACTCTTTGGACAGAGCCCAGCTTGCTGTTTGCCTCTGGTTCAACTCTTTGTGCAATGCTAAGCTAATGTACATCATTCGTCTTTTGAACTTTCAACTAGAAAGCGAATATGTGCATTTCCCAAAATATTGAATGATTCCTTTCAATCATTTCCATTTATCATCACATTCAAAGTCAAATGAAAATTCTTAGTGGTCAACAGAAGGTTTCGTAGGCTTTAACACTGGATGACATTTTGTCAATGTGTGACTGTATTATTTAAAAAACAAATGCGACTGGTACTGGAATAAGTGCAAACAACTCTTAACATGGTCCCACTTTAAATGAAGAACATTAAGTATGAATATTACTTAAAGTTTTGGATTATGAGAAGTTTCCTACCATTTTAGACTATACTGTAAGTATAAGATTAAGTATACTGTAATCGTTGTAAAATTGCTATGTAAAACTCTGTACATTTTGCCATGGTTTTAAAAAGTTGCAGCATTTATGATACGCATGTGTAGATTTCATGAAGCCTACATGAAACCTTTAAGACATATTTCAAGAGGTAATTCAGAGACAGTTGCAAAACAAAGCGTTTGCATATCAAAAAAGAAGGCACAGCTCTGGCATCATGATTGTAAGGAATGGTCCACGTCCAGTCTCACAACGCTATGCCCTCCACGTTACAGTTCAGAACTTCGGTGTGTTGGACCTGACCCAGCTGCCGGTGAAACTGTCCCTGTTTCTGGGTCCTCCAGCAGTGGATGCCTCGTCCCAGTGTAATACTCTTAATACTGGGCAAGTGGGTCAGCATGTTATCCGGCAAGGACGCCACACCAGAGCCCGACAAATTCAGCTCTTGCAGAGAGTCTAGTTCGCTAAAAACTGCAGGGCTCAGAGACTTCAGCTTGTGGTTGTTGGAGAGATCCAGAACTTGGAGGCTCTGCAGGCCCTTGAAGCTGTGAGACTCAATTTCCTGAAGCTCATGAAGGCCGCTGATGGATAAATAAACCAGATCTTTCAGCAGAGCAAAGGCTCCCTCCTTAATCTGCACGATGGGGTTACCATCCAGATTGAGGTACCTCAGAGGAAGTCCCGCTAGCCTCGGAACATTCGACAGCCGGTTTGCCGACAGGTTTAAGGTTTGAATGTGTAAAACTTTTCCATGCAAAGTCATGGACACTGATGAGAGCTTGTTATGAGACAGATCCAAGCTGACAGGTTCACCATTGACTTTAGTAGAAAACACATCCATGTCAAACTCCTGGAAACTGTTGTGGCTGAGGTCAACTTCAGCCAGAGGGAGGCCAGAGAAACAGCTGGAGGAGAGGCTCGCCAGGTTGTTGTGGCTCAGATCCAGAGTCTCCAGGTAACGCAGCTTGGACAAAGCATTGGGGCTTAGCTGAACATGTGTGGGAATGAAGAGATTGACACAGACAACAAATAAAGAGAAATACATAGAATAAGAACCATTTGTCACATATCTCTTGGTGTGGTCATTCACATAGAAAAGAAGAAAAAAGTATTGTTGAGTATCTTTATATAAACCCCTCACTATTCTATAACCAGATATTACTCATCCTGCCTTTTGTCTCATCGAACAGTTGGAGTGACTAGCTAAGCTTTAATATTTTAAAGGCACATCAAGAAAAATAGTAATATGAGTATTATTTGCCTTCAGTCAAATAGTCAAGTATATTTGTGCCTTCCATGAACCACCAACCTTTGTAATACGGTTGCTGCTGAGGTCCAAGCTGATGAGGGTGGTGTAGCCCGGACCAGCTAACATGGCGTCACTGAGTGGGCCCATGGCATTGGAGGACAGGTCCAGGTGGGCAGTGTCCAGTGGGATGGTGATGGGCATGGCGGCGCTGGGTCCTAACCCTCGACAGTCCACCCTGGTCAGACTGAAGCTGTCGAACAGGCCAAAGCTTTCCACCTCGCAGTGGCAACCAGGGTGGCAGTTCTTGGTGGTGCTGGGCTGGACAGCTGCCAGCAGTGACAAGCCAAAGTACAGCAGGAGGACCATTATGCCCTGAGGAAAGAACAGTTGATTTATTTTTCCTTTGAAACATTTTAACCACATACACCTATTGAGGTTTGTTATGCTGTCTCTTAATGAAAATCACCTTGTTTCTAAATGCAGAAATTAGAGCACATGTCCTGGTTCATGGCATCTTTAAGGTATTTGTTAATCATTGGGAAAGAACTTCAAGTTTTTTTTTGATGCAATGCGAGAAGCCCCAATTCCATTCCCTCCCGGCTTCCCATCGGGTGTGACCTAATTTCTTCGATCAAAGAGTTAATTTTCCCTTTCTAAGTTTACTGACTACAATGAGTATGCACGGCTGTAAAAATCAAAATCTGAGTGTATCATAAGTCCATTAAAATGTCTCCGCTCTGCTTCTTAAAATTTGCAAAAATGACAAGTGCCCACTTCCCAAGCATGTTCTCTGAGACATGGTGCACTGCATTCAGACAAAACAAATTCAGAAACCACTTCCAACTTTGAAAATCCAGCTTCCGTATGCTCTGAGAGTAAAACACCAATGCACCTGAAATAAAACGATTCAAAAAAACAAAAAGACACAGCGACTGCACATTCAAAAAAGAATAAATAAATAATTAAATAAAGTCCACACAAGTGACCAGGGAAAAACCTTTCATACCTTTTTTCCAGCAGGTGTAAGCTCCCTCTAAGTTATGTGTAAATGAACAGTGAATGCAAAAGCTGTTCAACTTATGCAACGTGCAAACACACTCAAATAAGAATGAATATTGGTCAGAGGTTAAGAGTTGTGTAACAAGTAAAAATGAAGTGTCATGGTCAACTTACCAGGATGTGACACAGCAAAGCACGTGCTAAAGACAATATTTAACAGATTTACAGAAAACATTTCCAAGAAATTTGAAAAGCACTATGATTTTAATGCTCTCTAATGTTTTAATTTGTTGTTGTGCAGTTAAGTTGCCCTCAGTGACTCCTGTCACGGCTGCTAATACATATCTAACAGGGGTTAGTTATATCAGCTTATGTAAGAGGGTGAGGGGACAGAGCTGCATAGTACTCAATGTATGGAGGCAGATTACGACACCTCAAAGTCTGCTGAGACAGAGCCGTTCACCTCTGTGCCGCTTTCTTTGGATGGCCCTTGAACCTCTCACTGCTGCAGCTTTCTACAGGGCATCAACTGGATGATTTCAGTGTCTCAGCCTCTGTACTTTTTAGTTGTGATAACATTCAGTACAAGTACACTGTTATGTGTTAAGCCTGTCAAAAGGAGAACTTCTGTCACTTGGGACAGAAAATAAAGTTTACTTATCTGTCTATCTAACTGAGCTAATACAAATGCTGCTTAGTGGTAGTGGGCTCATAGTTCATGTAACTTATACCTTTTTTAGACCAGGTATAGCCGCTAAAAACCTGATTGGCCTGTTTCTAGTTGCCAGTAGAGGAGTTAGCCTTTCTTTTATTGTTTATGCCATGAATCATGTTTGAGCATCACACCGCACAACAGAAGGCAGCACCATTGATAATTACAGTTACAGTTATATCTTTGACTTTAGTCTCTATTTCAAACTCAATGTTGACTGAACGCTGTCTTGCCAGTGTTGCATCTTGCACATTACAAAGAAAAAGTTGCTGTTGCAGGTTGTTCCAAAGATTTAAAAAACAATAAGCACACAAACGTCCTATTTAAGCTTCCAACGCCTGGAAGTTGAATCCATGTCATAACGTTGCACTGATGTTAGTGGGTGTTGAGTTTATGACCAGTGGCTTTATATGCTACAACCTACGTGGTCTTCAGCAGCTCTTCTCCTGTGTGTGCTATATCTATGCCTCCTCCTCCTCCTGCATCCTCGCCTCCATCTGTTGCTTCAGGAAGGATCATGAACTCTTAGCACCAGGTGTTCCTCTCACCAATAAATCTCCTCTAACACAAAACTGCTGCCAGCGCTGCCTTCAAATCCAGCGCATTCTAACTACTGCAATGACCCAACTGCAACAGCAGTTAGAGCCGCGAACCCTCCTGAGTGGACAATTGGCAAAGGCCTGTGAAATCACGCCCCGTCACCTTCTCACTTTCAGACAGCGTTTCACACCTTTCTTTCCTGGGAAAGCAGCACAACAGGCTCCACTGTCCTCTGAGGATCATCAGCCATGTTTATTTATCTAACAACCTACAGCTCATGTACACAGCTGTGGTGAGAAATTAAATAATAACTTTGCACTTTGCAACTACATACAGACTTAATCCATGGCATGGGATAATCCAATTACTGTCGTATGATAAGGGATTCAAGCAAAAATAACCGATGGAAAGAGAGAGGTTTGATTACATATACTCACTGCTGCTGTGGCCTAATTTTAGTTAACTAGAATGTGAATAACAAAGATCACCATGATAAGCACATTATTGATGTTATCACTATTATCAGCTGCATCAGGCCCGTTCAGACTGACTCAAGATTTCCTTTTATACATTAACAAATATAAAATACTATTTATACTATGCCTTGGCTGTATACTTCATGGTTATTAGTTACTGGGAGTTATGCATTCATGTTGTCAAGTATCTCCAGCGAATCAACATTTTAGATCGAGATTTTGTGGCGATAAGATCTGTCACAGGTGTCTGTGTGTTGTCAAGAAAATCACGTGATCTCCGCAGTGGATTTAATACGTCACTTCCTGCCTCTGTCTGCTGCGCCCTGCTCGCCTGAGTAATGAGGAGGATTTGATGCAGTTGTGGAGCGTCTGTGCAGAGAACCTCAAAAAGCTCAAAAGCAATACTCACTTTTCTTAGTCAACAGATTTTTCCAGACAGATTTTCATTATAAAATGCAGAGTATGCATCAAGAGGGGCACTTTTTTTCTATAAGGGGCCATTCAGGGTTCAGCATCTGGCCAAGGACACTTCGGCATGCACATTGGGATCGAACCACCGACCTACTGGTTGGAGGACAACCACTCTGCGCCCCCATTGTATTCTCGGTGTCGTAGACATCGCTCTGTGCCAATTTATTCTTCCAGTTTGAAGGCTGAAAACTGTGTAATTTGAATTGGACGGATGCCACATTAATCCTTTAAGCCGAATGAATGCATGACACTGAGGAGGAGGAGACGGTGAGCTCAAAGGAAAAGAGACGCTACTTAAGTGTTTTAAAACAATTAAGCGGCATTTATGGAGAATAAATCTTTTCACAAGCACAGAGAACAATCAACTCCAGTGTTGCTTTATGGTGAGGTGACGAGAGACAGTATTTCAGAAAAAGCAAAAGATCATTAAGAGGGGAAGCTTGGAGCAAGCTTTGAATACAACACTACTTTTATCAATAATAAAGTCTAATGTAAGAGGGGAACTTCGCAGTAGGTTATATGGATAATATCAATTATGCTGATTTACTGGTGAATATATTCACTGAGACCAGCAGCGTTTCCAAGTTGATGCGTTTTCAAACCAATGAGTCGTACTACGGATGTAGCCATAATCATGGGTTTGTTGTCCAGTTAGTTAGATGGTATGTATAATGTGCATGAATTGTCCATATATATATTTGTGATTATATAAGATCGGTCATTTTCTTTTATTTCAGGTTGAAATGTGAAAGCTGGCTCGGGACAATGGATACAATTTTGCTTGTATAGCAAACTCTGGCATCCTTTACAGTATTTTATCTGTTGATTAATGAGCAATGTCCATATCAAATTAATAAACAAACACACATATACAGTATAAACACGCACTTCTTCTTTGTTCGGTTTATTGGTGGTCGGCAACCAATGTCAAGGTGCATTACCGCCATCTACTGTGTTGGTGCACTGTTCCTGGAGGTACTGCAATAACCAGTCCCCATATTTTTCTTTTTGCTTAGTTTGTTATGCACAAAACATCAAAGTAAATGACTTTGATGTTGAAAATTGACTCCACAATTAACCTTAACCTATTCTGTCTCATTTTAAAACACCACTCCCCACATTATATTAAAAAAATGTCTGACCATCTGTTTCTGTGCATTAACCACAGAGTGAACCACCATGTCATGCCCTGGGAAGTCAACACGAGTGTTCAGGCTCTGCACGGGCACCTCTGCAGATCAGATTTCCAGCAGCAGCCGTACGTGGCACCGCGCGGGGCGAGCACACACCTCCACCGACTGGATTTAAAACATCTAAACACATCCACAGCGATCAGTATTATTATTAATCACATGTGTTAGCAGCGTTTATGAGCCATTCGACCTATACCCCGCCCCTCGCGGCTGTCAATCACTGGTCCACATGTCACCTCCGCGCGTCTCAGTCACAGGAGTTTGCAAAGTTTGTGTGTGTGTGTGTGTGTGTGT